AAAAATTGTCCATAAATAGTCTGGGGAGGATTTTTCTGCTATTGTACTGGCTATTTTGGATGATCTTTCGGCGATCTCCGGCATTTCCTCCAGAATTCGCCTGTAGGACGACATGCCCGACCTAACACCGCCCTCCTCCTCCTCCTCCTCCTCCTCCTCCTCCTCCTCCTCCCCTCCTCCCCCTCCTCCTCCTTCCCCTCCTCCTCGTTCTCCTCCTCCTCCTCCTCCTCCTCCTCCTCCTGTTCCTCCTGCTCCTCCTCCTCCTCCTCCTCCTCCTCCTCCTCCTCCTCCTCCTCCTGGCTCGAGCTCGGCATGCCCGCCCGGCCACGGCCGCCCCGTCCCCCCGCGCGGGCGCGCGCGATGCCCCGCCCCCGCGCCCTCGGAGGCGCGCTCGGGGCCGTGCCCTGGCGCGGGCCGCGCGCCCCTCGGCACCCGCGGGGCCGGCCCGCCGCACCCGCGGCCGGGGGACCGGAGATGGGCGCGGAGGGATGCGGCGTGGGCGTCCAAGAGGCGGGGGTGGCGGGCAGGTCCCCAGCCCCCCCCCCTCGCGCGGCGACGCAGAACCACGACGGGGGGTTCTCGGCGCAGTTGTCGCGCCCTTTCGGGGGGCCTGCCCGCCACCCCCCGCTCCTTGGAAACGCCCACGCGCATCTAGGGGAGAAAAAGCGCATCAAAATAAAAACCGGAGGTCCGCGCGGATTCTCGGATTCGTGCTGGGGGCCGCCCGGCGGCGCCTCTGGTCGCCGCCCCTGGCGCGCTCCGCGCGCCAGGGAGGGGGGTCCAGCGCCGATCCGAGAAATCCGCGCGAACCTTCGAGTTTTTATGTTTATGTCGCTTTTTGCTCCCCTAGATGCGGCGTGGGCGTCCAAGAGGGGGGGTGGCGGGCAGGTCCCAAGCCCCCACCCTCGCGCGGCGAGCAAAAGCACGACGGGAGGTTTCTCGCGATGTTCGGCCTCCGGGGGCTTGTGCCGGGCCTCGGGGCCGTCAGAAGACAGCGCAGGATGAGAGACTGGTCCCCTGGAAGGGGTCCAGACCTCTGGGGGTCTCGCAGAGACCCCCTATTGCATTTATTTTGCAACCGGCGTTCTCGCTCTATTTCGGGCCCCCGGACCCTCACATATCGATCCGGCTCAAGAAACGTCGCAGAACGATAGGGGTCCAGGGCTCGAGTCGTAACTTTTTTGGGTGGGACGGGGCTGAGACTCGCAGAGCGTTCCAGAACGCTCTGAGAAGGCCGAGGCACCCGTCAGTAAGCCGCCCGAGCTCAGAGATTCTCGATCTGTCCTCACTCGATTTTATCCTCGTCCTGGATTCGCCGTACAGTGCCGTTGTTTATACATGCTCCGCGTGCGGGATCATGTATGAAACAAATACAGGGTTTAGTATTAAAAACAATGAAGAGTTCATGCATACTTTTATTCATAAATTAATCATGTAATCAAATACAATATTTTAAAACATCTCATGTATTAAAAACTGCCCTGTCGGGGGGGAAGGCCAGGTCCATGCTGTCGGGGGCAGGGCGCGAGTCTCGCTGGCTCTCGGAGGTCCTCTCTCGCCTCCGGCTGCCCTCCGGCAGCTGCGTCTCGTGTCGGGGGCGCCCAGAGGGTCCCGAGCGGACGCCGGAGGCCCGAGATGTGACCCAAGAGCCATGGGCGTCCAAGAGGAGGGGGCCCAGACATGATCGCGTCGTAGGAAAAATCAGGGCGGGAGGTTTTGCCAGTTTTCGGACTCGGGGAGCCCTCGCCAGGCCTCGGGACCGTCAAACAACGACTCAGGACGAAAAACCGGTCCCAGGGAAAGGGTCGGGACTTCCAGGGACGCCGTTTTGCAGAAATCAGGACGTCGCATGTCTGGGGGGGGGGTGAGGGGCAGGAGGGTGCGGGCCATGAGCTCGCCCCCCAGATTTCACGGCCCCCTCCTCCTCTTCTCTCGGTGCGCACCATGGCCTTGCCCCCCTCGTCCCGCACGCCCGCGCCGCGATGCGCCCCGCCCCCCCCCCCCCCACCCGTCGGAGTGGCCGGTGAAGGTATCGATCTGGCGGGCGGAGGGTGAGGGCAAACGCCTCTAACTAGTCCACCTCTCGCTCTCGCGAGCGTCGGCTTGACGCCCTCCTGCGCTGTCGCAGCCCTGCCTGGTCACTGCCTGGCCCCCTCTCCCCCTCTTCGGCGCACCCGAAGTATGGTGTGGGCATGGAGCGCCGGGAGGTGCGCGCAGGCTGGGGCGGCGCGGTCAGGGTGTTCGTGGTGCCCGTGGTGAACGTGGAGGTGTTCGAGCACGGCCGCGGCGGGCCCGCGATCCAGCCCCACCTGCAGTCGACCCCGGAGGTCGCCAACAGGGGGTGGAGAGATTATGCGGAGGAGGCCGAGCCGGGGCAACGCGAGGCTGCTCCGACGGCGGGACCCCGCACGAGCATCTCTTTACAGTGCCGTTTTCAATACAAGCTCCGCGTGCGGAGCCTGTATTACACATGCAGGGATTCAGTATTAAAAACAGCGATGAGTTCATGCATTGATGCATCAGTAAATTAACCATGCATTAGAAGTCCAATGTATTGGGTTGTTAGAATTGGATGGATGAACATGGCACGCTTTCGACCCTTTCCCGTGCTAGCTGCTCCTCCGTCCCGATGTCTTTCTCCTCCTCCTCCTCCTCCTCCTCAACCTCCCCCTCCTCCTCCTCCTCCTCCTCCTCCTCCTCCTCCTCCTCCTCTTCCCTCTCCCCCTCCCCCTCCCCCTCCATCTCCTAACACTGCCCTCCTAACACTGCCCTCCTCCTCCTAACACTGCCCTCCTCCTCCTCCTCCTCCTCCTCCTCTTCCTCCTCCTCGGGGTTCAAAGCACGAGGCGCGGGCCCCATGCGGGAGGCGCCTCCCGCTCCAGGCTTGCCCTCCGCACTCACGCCCCGGGGAGCTCAAGAGTGACGACGCTTGCAGGCTTCGAACGGGCCCCCTGGGATTACAAACTGGAGGTGCGGGCCCCATGAGTCGGGGGTGGACAGAGCCCCCAACAGTGACACGTCGATTGGTGAATTGTCCGTTTTCGGTTCTCGAGATGGCGCCGTGGCCGTTATTTTGCAGGCTTGCGCCCGCCAGGTTTGGGCCTCAGGTCGTTTTCACTAAACCACGTTTTACTAGAGGGGGGTCTGTCCATCCCCGAATGAGGCAAGGGCTCCCGCCTGAGACGTCTTCGCAGTTCACGCACCTACGTGGCCCCGCCTGAGATATCCTGAACAACCTCAAGAAGTAGTTGAGACCCCCCCCGTTCCGGCAAACCAGGAAGCGTCATCCCCACACCGGAAGGATGATGAGTTTCACGGATTGAGGGCGGCTCGTTTTCAAAGTGTGGTTATCGCCTCAGCGCCGGACACTTTCTTTTCGAAAGCGTTGCAAGAGCTTCACGGATTGAGGGCGGCTTGTGGCTCCCACCTGAGCGCCCCGCGCATTCGATTTACACGTTTGCACGAGTTTCTGGGATTGAGGGCCGCTCGTTGTCAAAATGTGGCTTTCGCCGCAGCGCCGCGCACATTCGTTTCAAAAAGTTATACAAAAGCTTCACGGATGGAGGGCTGTTCGTTTTCAAAGTGTGGCTCTCGCCTCAGCGCCGCGAACATTCGTTTTGAAAACGTTGCAGGAGCTTCACAGATTGAGGGTGGCTCGTTTTCAAAATGCGGCTCTCGCCTTAGCGCCGCGCACATTCGTTTTTTAAATGTTGCAAGAGCTTCACGGATGGAGGGCGGCTCGTTTTCAAAATGTGGTTCTCGCCTCTGCGCCGCGCGCATTCGTTCAACATCTTCAACAGTTTCACGGATCGAGGGCGGCTCGTTTTCAAAATGCGGTTGTCGCCTTTAGCACCGCGCACATTCGCATCACACATCTGCTAGAGTGTCACGGGTGGAAGGCGGCTGGTTTTCAAAATGTTGTTCTCGCTTCAGCGCCGCGCGCATTCGATTTAAAACATTGCAAGAGCTTCACGGATTGAGGACGGCTCGGCTTCAAAATAAAACTCGCCATAGCGCCGCGCACATTCCTTTCTTAACGCTTTAAGAGCTTCACGGATTGAAGGCGGCTCGTTTTCAAAATGCAGCTCTCGCCTCAGCGCGGCGCACATTCATTTGAAAGTGTTGCAGGAATTTCAGAGATTAAAGGCGGCTCGTTTTCAAAATGTTGTTCTTGCCTTAGCTTCTCGCGCATTCGTTCAAAAATCTTCAGAGCTTCACGGATTGAGGGCGGCCCGTTTTCAAAGTGTGGCTCTCGTTTCAGCGCTGGGCGCACTCGTTTTGAAAACGTTGCAAGAGTTTCACGGTTGAAGGCGGTTTGTGGCTCTCGCCTTAGCGCCGCGGGCATTCGTTTCAAGAATGTGCAAAAGCTTCACGTGCGGAGGGCGGCTCGTTTTCGAAATGTGGCTCTCGCCTCAGCGCCGCGCACATTCGTTTCAAACATGTGCAAGGGCTTCGCAGATGGACGGCTGCTCGTTTTCAGAAAATCGGTTCTCGCCTCAGTGCCGCCCACACTCAATATGACAACGTTGCAAGAGCTTCACGGAGGGCGGCTCGTTTTCCAAATGTGGCACTCGCCTCAGCGCCGCGCACACTCATCTCAAACATTTGCAACAGCTTCACAAATGGAGGGCGGCTCGTTCTCAAAACGCGGTTCTCGCCTCAGTGCCGCGCACATTAGTTTTGAAATCATCGCAATAGTTTCACGGATTGAGGGTTGCTCTTATATACGACCCGACTACTGTACTCATATTTAATACTCCTTCGACGACGACGACGACGGCGACGACGACGACTACTACTACTACTACTACTACTACTACTACTACTACTACTACTACTACTACTACTACTACTACGACTACTACGACGACGACTGCTACTATTACTACTTTTACTATTGATACGACTGCTACTAATACGGCTACTACTCCTACTACTCAGAGGAGCATGAAGTATTGATATTGATAGTTTTCCAGATTTCCAGGTTTTCCTGTTCTTCCGCGGGGGCTCAGTCCGCGAGTCGCAGCTGCCGTGGCGCTGTTTTCGAGGTAGCCCCTTCGAGTGCTGTTCGCGGGTGCAACGCGCGGCGCGCGCTGCGCCCAATCGCGCGCGGCGCGGCGCGTGAATCAGCCGGCCGCGCCCGTCGGACCGCCCGGACATTATTTCTGGATTGTAGAGTGTGTCAGAAAACGCTTCCGCTTTTTTCCGCGCGAGCGGTTCCGGAATTTTTCAAAAAGAAGCCCGGAAATTTTCAAAAAATAGTTTTGAGGGGTGGAATGCGCCCGCCGCGCAGGACATCTGAAGAGTTCCGAAATCCGGAAGTTTTCAAAAGGGATTCCGGAATTTTTCAAAATCGATCCCGGAAATTTTCAAAAACGATCCCGGAAAATTTCAAAAAGTAGGCCAGACATGTTCAAACATGTTCCCAGATTGTTCAATTTTACCCCCGGGGAATTTTCCAGAGTCGAGCATGCTTTGCTTTGCCAGGTCTTTGGGAATCCGCCGGGGCGAGCGGTGCGCGGCGGCGGGCGATGGGACGGTGCGCCACCGTCCCCTCCGCGCTCGGCAACGAGAGGGGGGGGTCAGCAATTGCCAAATAGCCCTTCACGGGCGACCACTCGATTGCGAATGGCTGACTGACCAGCGGCGCCAGCCAGAGTAGACAAACCTCGACGCCAGGTGTACCCCGCGCGAAGGCTGTTAGAAATGCCAGAATTCCCGGAACGTATCAATGGCACGTTGCGTCAATAGTTTTTTCCTGTCCTAACTACTACTACTACTACTACTACTACTACTACTACTACTACTACTACTACTACTACTACTACTACTACTACTACTACTACTACTACTACTACTAGTACTACTAGTACTATTGCTATTCTTACTATACCTGCGAGTACGACGGCTACTACGATTACTACGACGGCTGCTACGACGACGACTATCATTGTTACTACTACTCCTGCTAGTAATATTACTACTATTGCTACTACGATTACTACGATTGATACTACTACTACTACTACTACTACTAATACTACTACTACTACTACTACTACTACTACTACTACTACTACTACTACTAGTACTATACTACTATACTACTACTACTACTACTACTACTACTACTACTACTACTACTACTACTTACTACTACTACTACTACTACGATACTACTACTACTACTACTACACTCTACTACTTACTACTACTACTACTACTACTACTACTACTACTGCTACGTACTACTACTTACTACTACTTACTACTAACTACTACTACTACTACTACTACTACTACTACTACTACTACTACTACGACTACTACTACTACTACTACTACTACTACTACTACCAACTCCACTACTACTGCTAGTATTACTTCTACCACGAGTACATTTCTATTATGATTACTACTACGAGTACCAATGCGACTACCACTTCTATTGTTACCTTTAGTCTTCTTAATACGAGTAGCAGTAGCAGTGGTAGTAGTAGTTGTAGTACTACTACTACTGCTGTTAGTGCTGCTCTTTCTTCCACTACTACTACTACTACTACTACTACTACTACTACTACTACTACTACTACTACTACTACTACTACTAGTACTACTACTATTACTTACTACTACTACTACTACTACTACTACTACTACTACTACTACTACTACTACTACTACTACTACTACGACTACTACTACTACTACTACTACTACTACTACTACTACTACTGTTACTACTACTACTACTACTACTACTACTACTACTACTACTACTACTACTACTACTACTACTACTACTACTCATACTCCTACCATGACTATTGCTACTATTATTACTTCTACTACTATTATTATTGCTTCTACTACGATTGCGACCTGTTAGTTCCATGGCCACACGCTTACTACTCCTACGAGTATTCGCGGGCGGGAGATCAGTATTTTCGTAGTTCCGCGGTGTGCTAAAGATATCGTTCCGTGCGGGGCGGGAGCGTTATCCTGGTATGGACCGCCCCCCGGGGCAGCCGACGCAAATCAATTCCTTTGGATTGCAACAGGGATCGTGTAGGCCGGGGGCGGTGGGCAGAACGAGAGAGGACGACCTGGACTCAAGCCCGCCGCTTCGCAGGATTAGAGTGATTGACAGTAAACTACTAGTACTAGTAGCAAAACTGCGGTTATTATTTCTTTTGTCATTCGATGGGGGCGCTATTACTGTTACGACCACATTGCAAGACTAACGGCTGGTACTTCTACGATTCCCGTTTGCATTCTTAATACGACTATTACAATGTCTTTTTTATCTACCTACCCCACTCGTACTCCCATTCGTAGTGCTACTCCCTTTACTTAATCG